TAAAAAATATATATCAATTTAACTTGAAATCTTTTACATATTAATTTAAAATTGATTAACAAATATTTATATCTTTTTTGTCTTAATCAGGGTCATTGGGTGGGTGGGGTGGCGCCCTAGTGCCCTCTTTTGGCCAGCCGCCACTGACTTTTAGCTGTGCATTTTTGGTATTTGCTTGAAAAAGGTACAGTCAGTATAGTTTCACATGGGCCTTTTTGTTCATAAATCAGAGTAAAGTCCTGCATGCACTGAAATCTATACCCAGCATATGACAGGCCATCAACTAGTCCATATTATTTTAAGACAGCAGTCTTTTATCCGTGGACAGTTATTGCTCCCCTGTATGGCTCAATAGATTTAGCCATTAATATCCAACAGTCTTTTTACTTTCATTATTAACCTCCAGGCCAGAACATTTTGTGGATGATACATACAAAGAAAAGAAAGCTCATCAAGCATGTTAAGCCTGAGCGAGGAAACTCAATAGTTAGCCTCTGAAATGAAAAGCAGTTTGATAAGGGAAATGACGGTGATTTTTTTTTTTCTTTTCCTCCTCAATCCTTTATTGTGAATAGTTTCCATGAAAAGCCTTTTGCGTGTCAGGAGTGATTCTGTTTTCATAGAGGGTTCTAATCCCGGCTCTTCATGCTGTCAGGTCCACTGCCTCTCATTGTGCTTCCTGCCTATCTGATTATCTACAGCATTACAAGTGGCCAGAAGCACAGCACCTCATTGTTAGGAGTGAAACACATTCTGGCCAGATAGGAGTTTTGCTGAACCACGACTATGAACTACTTTGAATGAGCAAACCATAAAGTCCACAGAGGACTGTAATGACATTCATAACCTCAGTGTCCCCAGCAGCAGCCACTGATCAGTTATTTCCCTTTGGGCCATCTCTATTTTCCTGCTTTGAATTCTTTCAGAGCAGTTCGTTTAGAGATAATTGTACTTAACCCTGAAATATGTACAATGATTTTGCTCCACTTAATCATGCAATCGTTTATGCTATTAACGATGTAACTACTAATTCTGCGTTTCTGGAGATGTCTCCCTATTAAGGTATTTAAACTACATAAGAGAAAGAATAACAAAAATAACACATTGTCTCTTGTATACATATATACAAGAGACACAGTCCAGTTTTTAACTTGTTATCTTGCAATAAATAATAAACCTACTCCTCTTTGCTTTTTCACTAAAATGTCAGCTCAAACATATGGAAGACAATTATTCAGTTGAAGGTCCTAGCAAAAAAAGATGGGTGGTACTGAGAACTTTATTTTAAAAAGTTAGGGGGAAGAAAATAAATACACTAGAAAAAAAGTTCATTTTTTTAACCAGTGTTAAGCCAGAAAAAAAACATCAGAATATTTTTAGCTAGGGTAAGAAGAAAGACTAACCAACACCTCTAACTTATACTGTGGTAGGCTTCCAGTGGGAGAGGGGAGGCGTATCCTCTGGACGCTTTAAAAGTCCATCAAAAAACATAAAATGTATAAATATAAATATATCTTTTTTTTTTTTTTTTTTTGACTCGCAAATTGGATAGGGAGAGAATTTAGATCTGACCTAGAAAGACCCAAGACTGGGATTGGAACCAAGGACCTTGTGCCTTTAGGGTAAGTAGGATTCTGATAGTATTATAGTTGTGATTCAGTACTTGCTCCTCAAACTACTTAATCAAAATACTGGAAACTATTTAGAACATAAGATAATTCATACCTGATGGGCTTAGCAGTTAAGATAGTCAGGGTAATAATTATTTATTTTATATTTACTCAGATTTCTCCTGTTTGGATTTGGAGGAACCCTGATGTATCTTCAATTACAGAGGATGTCGGCAGCAATTTGGGCATTGATCGGGCTGCCGGCAGCGGTTGACGCCTTCACAAAGGCTGTGAACGAGCAGGACCGTGAGCTGAGCTGTATGCTGGGTGTGATTGAACGCAGGCTAGCTGCAGTGGTTGAACTCAAAAGTGAAATGGCATAACATCTTCGATGGGCCCGCTCGCTTCAAGGCAGAAAAGCCCAACACATTTGGAATGTGTTGGGCTTTTCAGAATATCCAGAATATCCAGAATAACACAATGTGTTATTCCGACCTACCTCCTCTATCTAATCTCCCCCTGGATGTTATGGCGAAAGGGCACAGAAGTACAGCTCCCCCCTTCCCCTACCCGCAAAAACATCTGTGGATGCGCTCAGTGACTGTTGATAAACTTCCATCTTATCAAGTAGATTGCCTGTGTTCAGCGTTCATGGACAAATTGAATGCACTCATCATACACAAACAATAATATGTCTCAAATGTCAGAATGACTTCATGTGATTAAGCCCATGTGACCCCTATGCTGATATGTCTGTCTTGTGTTACATGTGCTTTCTTGTGCAGAGGTTTTTTTGATATCGCAAATGTTATCCTTTTAAGGATAAAGTGTGAAATATGTTTTTTTTTTTCTCCTCTCTTCCCCAATGTGGCTCCTATATTTCCACAGACATAGAAGGCAGCGCTTTAGGTAACCGCCTGGGACCTGGGAAGCCAGGTAACCGGTTGGAACCTGGCAAGCCATAAGAATGCGCCGTTCTGCCGAATGCCAGCGTTCTGTGGCACGCATGGCCTCAGTTAATCTGTCCCCCCTCTCAGCCCCCCCCACCCGAATGTATGTGACGTATTGTGATGAACAGTTGTACTGAAACTAAAATTTCGATTGCATTGTATAATGTAGTTGACAATAAAGAAATTTGATTTATTGATTGATTTTGATTGATTTTATGTCCCTGACAAAGTTTACAACAGCACAAAGAGAAAGGAAAGTATATCCAATGTATAAAATATACAAATCATGTTTTTTAGTTGTTTTTTAGTTGTTGTTTTTTTTAACATGAATTGTAGTTGTTGGCTGTAGAACTGCTAGTTGTGTTTTCCACAAACGGACCTTAAGATTTGTTTAATTAACTTAATTGATTATTAAAATATCATTTATAAAAATATTATTAATTAAAATAATTCAAACAATGGGCCTGTCAATGGGCTCAAAGTCACAAAACCACACAAATAACAAGCAACAAATAAACTGATCTCCCATAATGAGACAAAGGGGGATTTGAATAGTGGCTAATTTTGACAAATTTTTGAGAACAGTGTAATTGTCTTAAATACATTAGAAATAAAAGAGTTGTCAGGGTTCCCTCTTATGTGTGTTATGAGTGCGAGTGATGCATCGTCTCTTCAGAGGATCTTGGCGGGGTACCTGGGCTGCCTTCACAGGTGGAGCTTGTCAGCTTCATCAGAGTGCTGGGATTAAAAGTGCAGCAGAGCCTTCACTCAGAGCTGGATGATTAACAGTTACAGGTAGTTTTTCTGGCCATCTCTTGTTGAATCCTTTTCAAGTTTGATTATCTCCAGTGAACTCGCCTTAGTTGCTCAAACCCTGTCCTTGTTTTCTCCAGGTTTTTCTCTCGCTTGATTTTTTGAGGATTCAGTTCACCGACTCACCTTCCAGTGGATTAACCAGCTAGGTACCTGCCTGCCCGCTCCACCTGCAATCAGTTCCAACCCGGCTCCATCAAAACGTTGGGTTACTTAACGTAATCCCTGGTTCTTTGATAACAGAGTGAGGTGTTTCACTATGGGAATCGCCTTGGCGTGACCAACTACGGAAGCTCCAATGACATCACGTCTGTCTGAGACAGACAGGTTGAGCCGTGTCCGTGGCTCCACCCACCAGCTAGATCACGGCCAACCTACCCGCCTCAACTCATTCTAGGCAGGTTTCTTTCCGTGCCCATGCAAGAAGGGATGTGTTGGTGAAACACCTCACTCTGTTATCAAAGAACCAGGGATTACGTTAAGTAACCCAACGTTCTTTTTCTAACTTCGCTCGGTGTTTCACTATGGGAGATATGGCCCACTCCCGGATTGCATGATGATCCCGAAGCCATATATGATAGGAATCACAACCCAGGTCTCAGTTGGACCCTAACATCCCTACTCCAAGCACTGAGTGTGCTAGCGATGGCCGGGCCACATCCAGCCTGTAAAACCTCACAAATGTGTGCGGCGTAGCCCAGCTGGCTGCAGCACAGATGTCCTGAACTGACACACCACGGAACAAAGCCCAAGAGGTGGCCATGCTTCTGGTAGAATGGGCCCTCACCCCTTTAGGGGGCTCTGATCCTGCGCACCTATATGCCAGAGATATAGCCTCCACAACCCAGTGTGCTAATCTTTGGCGGGAGACAGGTTTGCCCTTATGAGCAGTAGCCCAGGATACAAACAGAGGGTCAGCTCTTCTAAAACAGGCTGTCCTGTCCACATAAGCTCTTAAAGCTCTCACTGGACATAAGCAAAGAAGCTTCTGCTCATCTGCTGAAGAGAAAGGGGGTGGATGGAATGCCAGCAATTCCACCATCGAACACCTATATGCTGAATCCAACACCTTCGGCACAAAAGCCGGGTTGGGTCTCAAGCACACCTTAGAGAGCCCGGGCGCCCACTGTAAACAGGCCGGACTAACTGAAAGTGCATGCAACTCACTCACCCTCTTAGCCGTAGCCAACGCTAAGAGCAGGGCAGTTTTCAATGAAAGGAACTTTAAGCCAACACCCTCCAAAGGTTCAAATGGGTGATGACAGAGGGCATCCAACACCAGAGAGAGATCCCATAATGGCACCAGAGGCTTAGAAACTGGTAACTTACGTCGGGCCCCTCTCATAAAACGACACACTAAGGGGTGCTTCCCCACAGGTTTATCACCAAACCCTACATGACAAGCAGAGATTGCGGCTAAATAAACCTTAATTGTTGAAAAAGCCTTACCCTTCTCCAACAAGCTCTGCAGAAAGCAGAGCACGTCCCCCACTGAACACTGAAAAGGAACGGTCTGTTTTTCCTCACACCATTCCTCAAACACTCGCCATTTACCACTGTAAAGATAGCGAGTAGAAGAAGCCCTAGCATTCTGTATGGTGTCGATCACCTCTGGGGGGGAGGCCTGTTGCATTTAAATTCCACCTTTCACGGGCCAGGCCCAGAGAGCCAGGTGATCTGGGTGTGGATGATAAATCTCCCCTTGAGCCTGAGACAGCAGGTCCCTTCGAACGGGGAGGGGCCATGGTTCGGCTGACAGGACTTGGATTATCTCTGCCACCCAGGGCTTCGATGGCCACCAGGGAGCCACCAGAATCAAAGACAGCCCCTGTTCCCTCACTCTGACTAGAGTTGGGGATATCAGGCTGAGAGGAGGGAAAGCGTAAAGCAACGCGTCTGGCCATGGGTGCGCCAGCGCGTCCATACCCAGTGGAGCGTCTGGGTCTGACAGGGAGAAAAACAGCGGGCAATGAGTGTTTTCCCATGAGGCGAAGAGATCTACGGCAGCCCGTCCGTATCTCTGCCAGATCTGCTCCACCACCTGTGGATGCAGCTTCCATTCCCCATAGAGAGGGTTCCCTCTGGATAAAAGATCGGCCCCTCTGTTCAGAATTCCCGCTACGTGCGTTGCTCTGAGCGACAGAACTCTGGTGCTGCTCCACATAATTATGTCCCTGGCCAGTCTGTGTAACTGCAGGGACCTGGTGCCGCCCTGACGGTTGATATAAGCCACCACAGTGGAGTTGTCGGTCTTTACCAAGACGTGGCGACCCATCACATATGGCATGAAGTGCTTCAGAGCTAGGAACACTGCGTGCAGTTCCAGCATGTTGATGTGAAGCCGCCTCATTCTCGGCGACCATATGCCATTCACCGCTCTGCCCATCATAGTTGTGCCCCAACCTGTCAGGGAAGCATCGGTTGTCATGGTAACCCTGGATGCTACAGTCCCCAGCGGGACGCCCGACGTGAGAACCGTCGGGTCTCTCCAGGGCTGAAGAGCCGCCACGCATGTCTGTGTCACTTTTACTCTGCGGCACAGATGACGGCAGGGACAGAGTCGCAGCGAGGCGACCCACCGCTGAAAGTCCCTCATCATCAGAAGCCCCAGATGGACCACTGAAATCACGGATGCCATAAGACCGAGGAGCCGCAGGCACAGTCTGAATGTAACGACGTTTCCCAACTGAAAACGCGTCATGCACTGGGTGAATGACAGGATTCTCCCCTCTGATAGTGTGACACGATAAGAGAGGGAGTTTATTTTGAGACCCAAATACTCCGTGCATTGCACGGGAGTCAGGCGACTTTTGGCTTGATTTATTCTGAACCCGAGGTTGATGAGGTGGTTGATCACTGCCAGGGAGTCGCTGACTGCATGCTCGCTTGACCGAGAGCAGATTAGATAATCGTCTATGTACGAAAATATTCTGATCCCGCGCGTCCTCAGAGGGGACAGCGCCGCCTCCACACACTTGCTGAACACCCTCGGGGCTAATGACAGCCCGAACGGGATGGTCTGAAACTCGTAGGCTGCGCTCTGATAAGCGAACCTGAGAAACTTTCTGTGTGGGGGGTAAATGGAGATGTGAAAATAGGCGTCCGCGAGGTCGATGGTTACAAACCAATCCCCCGGACGGATGGAACGGCACAGTGCTTTGTGTGTGAGCATCCTGAATGTATATCTGCGTAAGTGTCTGTTTAACACACGCAGATCCAGAATGGGGCGTAGTGATACGCCGTCTTTCTTTGGAATGAGAAAATAGCGCGAGTAGAAGCCCTGACGAACCTCCTCGTCCGGTACAACTCTGATCGCTTTTTTCTCTAAAAGGGATGCTATTTCGTCTTTCAGGACGTGAGCTGAATCCCCGGTGGCAACCGAGGAGAGCACTCCGTTGAATCTCGGAGGTCTCGTGGCAAACTGCAGTCTGTAACCCTTGGAGATTGTATGCAAAACCCATGGAGAGACAGCGCATGCGCGCCACTGATCTGCCCGAGCAGAGAGAGGAGAAGCGTCGCTGCTGAGTGACGTCATCCCCTCTGCACTGCTGCGCTCGGCTCTGTTGTAAAGAGCGCGAGCTCCCTCTGCTGGGCGCAGAGGGGAGTGGCAGAGAGCCATTTGTGTTAATTTTTTTCTTTTTTGTGGGGGGCTTTCTGCCCTTGGCAACATGCCTGGCTGCAGAAAAGCTGTATTTATTTTCTCTAATTCCCCCTGAACAACACTTTGTAACATGGGGCACAGCTGAGTGCTTGGTGACACTGATAACGTGCTGTGGAGTGTTTTGTGACACTGTGTCCTCCACCCCAAAATGTCTTCTCTCTGAACGTGAGAGGGAGAATTTAACATGCCTCCTGGTGAACTGGGAACTACAGGAGCATCTGAATCCTGGACAGAGAAGTTTGCCCTGGTGCCTGGAAACCTTCTCTTCAGAGGGGAGATGGTTAACAGTGGGGTTAGGTTGCCCGCTTTTTCTTGCTCTCCCCAGGGTGGGATGGACGATTTTTTGCAGCGGCCGCTGCAAAAGAGTGCTTCCCCCATGGTCTTGGGTTCTCCGCTTTGCTTTGCTGGGTGGATTGTGTGGCAGGTCTCCTTGAAGGCTTGGCTCCACCTTGCCGTACTCTCACTGCAGCAGCCGCAAACCCAGGTCTGGGTCCCTGTGGGGGGGTTTGGCTGGGCTTACGAGGCAAACAAAGGTTAAAAGCCTCTCCCTCCTGTTTTCTGAGGTTACTCGTCTCCCTCATCTTCTCCAAGGAGGGGCCAAATAGACCTTTTGTCGGGTCATAGGGCGCATCCATGATCTCAGCCTTCTGGGAATCACTCAGGCCTGACAGGTTTAACCATAGGCCTCTTTCCCCTGAGACAGCCAGACCCATGACCCGACCACAACCTTGAACAGCACCTCTAGAGGAGCGCAAGATGAGATCGTTCACCACACAGATCTCATCCCATAGACTGGGGTTAGGTGTCCCCGAGTCCAGTTGACGCCCCATCTCCTCCAAGATTTCACCTTGGTACGCAGACAGCAGTGTAACCGCGTTAAGTGAGCACACTGACTGACCCGCATATCTGTACATCCTTTGGTAAATGGAGGCTGTGAGGCGGTCCATTTTACCTGGGAGCGAGATGTTTGAGGATGCTGAAACCGATCTGCGGTTAGGGTGGAGGTGGTAAGCCACTGAAGGCTCTACAGCTGGGGGTTCGGCCAGCCCCAGCTCACCCATGCCCTGTATCTCCAGCTTAGAGAAGCCCTTGGTGGGAAGCTTACTCTTAAATAGGCTGGACCAGAAACGGCTCATTTCTCTCATGCAAGCGGGAACGGCTGGTAAAAGTTGCTTTGCTGGTGGTAAAGTTGGTGGAAGCCTTTTACCGTCGTACAGGTCCCGTTCTGCTCCTTCTGAATCCTGCGCTGCAGGCCAGGGGATGTTCAGCTTTAAAGCCGCCCGTCTGCACACATCGTACAGATCACTATCCCCCGGGGAGGTGACTTCTGCCCCGCTTGGAGGCCTGGAGTGATGACCCGGGAAGGTCGAGTCCTCCTCCTCCTCCTCCATGTCCTCCAGTTCCAGGAGGTCGGAGTTAGCGTCACCCTCCGTTTCGTCGATGTCTGCCTCGAGTTTCCCACTGTCCATAAGGCCCTCAAACAGAGGAGGCATGGACGGGTACTCCTCTTCCATCACGTCCGCCCAGCTCTTAGAGGCTAGCGGCGGATGGTTTTCACCCGCCGCCGCAACGGCTGCAGGTGAGGAGAAGCAAGGGTCCTGGCTGTTAGCGACAGCCACCCTAAGCCGCCTCTCCAGGATCCTTTACGGCATCGACGCGCAGTGCTGGCATCCCTGAGGGTCCGCCAGCGATGCCTGAGCGTGCTTAGCGCCCATACATGCTATACACATCGGATGAGGGTCCCGCCCAGAGATAGATGCCCCGCATGACGCTGGACACGGGCGGGATACAACCTCTTTAGCCTTCGGTTCCGAACCTTTGGCAGGGGTAGGAGCCGCAGACATGACTGTGGTTAAACACGGAGCTCGTCGCTACACGTTAGCTCTTTACTGATATAAAGTCCGTTCGCCACAACACGTTAACCGGACTCTTATGCTAGCGATACACTGCTAGCCAAAAACCAAGCCCACCTTTACGTGTTAGCTCGGCTGACACAAGCGCTCTCTATTCCGTTAATTAAAACGGAGTAGATACAGGGACAGCTCGCCTTTACGCGGTCACCGCTCCCAGCGTTTGTGTTCCAGAAAGTGCTTCTGCCGAAGCGCTTACTCAGCACGGTACAGGCCTGTCCTGGTCCTGCGTTCAGCGACGTTTTCCTTTACGGAACGCCTGAGAACAGTTAAACAGGTCCAAGCTAACCTGAGCGCGCTTAGGGAGCTTAGTTGTAGTCTTCACACGGGAAGAAAGCGAGAATGAGTTGAGGCGGGTAGGTTGGCCGTGATCTAGCTGGTGGGTGGAGCCACGGACACGGCTCAACCTGTCTGTCTCAGACAGACGTGATGTCATTGGAGCTTCCGTAGTTGGTCACGCCAAGGCGATTCCCATAGTGAAACACCGAGCGAAGTTAGAAAAAGAACTCTGTAATCTTGCTCTATCAGAGGTAAACCATCAACCTCCCCACACAGGACCCAAACCATCTTCCCTCGACGGCACGCTTAAGGTTTTCAGAAGTAAGCACTGATTCTTCTAAATCCATAACACAGGTTTCTGGCCACAGCTTATTCTCCTCTCATTCCAGATGTCAGAGTTCACGGAACCACATCACACTCCAGAAGGATCTCATACTGTCTGTTTTTTCATTGTTTGATCAATAAATCATTTTCCCTATCTTAACTGAGTTGATTCTGCATGTGGGTCAGAAGATTAAACCCGAACATGACAAGAGTAGCACTGTAAATGTCTCACAGGGTATGATGATGGTAGGGGAGGTTAAAAAAAAAAATCACAAAACTCGGTGAAGGAGAGCTACAGCAAAGAGTAGCATTTTGAAGTCACAGCAGCTCTGTTATAACTTAGATATTACCTACATGGCTTGTCCAGTAAAAGGCCGCTTTTGGACTCAAATATAAATGGGGGTAAATGGAAAGTTTCTCCTGGTAAATGTGTGCTGTGCTCAAATAACATTAAGCATGATCCTTTCAGGAACAATTAAGGTGGTTGTGTTGCATAAACACGTTTCATGTGTACTGTGAAGTAAAGTGAAGGAGCTGTGATGCTCTGGTCAACTGCACCTTGTGAGATTTCATAAATTATGTTTTTTTTTTTTTTTTGTCTTTTTTTCTTTTTTTTTTTTTTTTTTTTTTTTTTTTTACAGTGTCCTGTCTGGCAAGGTGGCAATAAGAATAATTATCTTGATGCCAAAAGGAGCCCAACAGATTTTACTTTCACAAGTGTAGCGGTATCGCAATTGCCATACCGCTCCACTTGTTTCATGTATATAAATTGCTTTATTATAATTATGCAGGGAGTTTTACAGTTCATATGGACACTGCAATGTAAGTAGAGCAGAAAAACAGAAGAAGAAGAAGGAAAAAGAAAAAGAAAAAAACAGGACAAAAGATGAAAGAAAGAGGAGATAGGAAGGAGACAATGACAAAACATTTTCAGTCTGCTTCAACACCTGTAATGAGATGGAGAAAAAAAAAAAAAAAAAAAAAAAAAAAAAAAGAACAGCACAACCAAAAAACATGGTACGAGATATACAATAAAGCAAACACCTTGAAACTATCACTAAAGTAATATTATTAAGTCTGACATGTACTCTGTGTTACCTGAAGATCTGTTTGGAAGTGAATCTCTAAGTACCTGAAGCCTAGCACCTGTAGTTGTTTGTGAGGGTGAACTTGTGCATGTAAAGTTTTAACCATAGAAAAAAATGCTCAATAGCTGTTGTGGAGAGCCGGAGAGGCACACCCCCCAGAGCACTGAGTCCAGCGCCGGGAGACCCAAAGCCCCAGGCGCCCAAGGGGACCCCAGAAGCGAAGGCACCAAGGCGGGGCCAGCCCCGGAAATCAGACCCCACCAAGGCAGGAGGAGAGACAGCCACGAGGAAGCCCCCCAGCCACCGCCATGCCGGCGCCCCGGGGAGCCGCGGGGATGAGTCCGCGGGCCCCGCCGGCAGCCGGCCACCCCGAAGTAGGGCCGGGCGCCGAACACCAGCCCCCCCACGGCGCCGACCGAAACGCCCCAGCCCCACAGAGCACCGAAACACGCCCCTCCCCCCCGCACCAAGCCCCGGCGACCGGCCGCAACACCCACCGCGACCGCACCACCAAGGAAAACACTAAGGCGGCCCCGCCCCCGGCCGGGGCCCATGCGCATCCGCCGCGAACCGGCCACGAGCGCCGCGTGGGACCCCCCCCAAAACGCCCCCCCGGCCAAAAGCGCAGCCCCACCCCACCAAGACCGATGCCAACAGCGCGCAACGAAACACACCGCGCACAGAATCAGAGGAGCAGACCGCAGCCGGCGCAACCACCCCCCCCCAGCAGCCCGAGGGGCAGCACAAAGCCAGAGCGGAGCGAACCGCGCCGCCCCCCCCACCGGACGATGCCAAAGCAGCCCAGCCACGTCCGCCACCCCCCCCCGCAGCCCGCACCAGGCCCCGACACGCGGCCAGAGCGGCTCCGCCGCCCCGGCCCCCCACCACGCGCCGGTCATAGCCACCCCAGGCCCCCACCCGCCCCGCAGCCCCACCCGCCGCGATCAGTGGGAACAGAGCAGCCCCGCCATGCCTCCAGGAGGGAAAACCCACCCGAATACCCAGCCAGCGCAGCCAGCCCGCCCAGACCGGCCCCCCAACACTACCCCCGCCGGAGCCGCCCGGACCCCCACACACCAGCGGCGCGCCGCCAGCAGGACCCCCACCCAGCAGGCCCGCCTGCCCCCCGAGAAAACAGACATGCCAAACCCCCCAAAGAAAAAAAGAGAAAAAAAAAAAAAAAAAAAAAAAAAAAAGGGGCCCCCACAATGCGACAGCGGACACCAGACACCGACCCGCCCGCAACCGCTCCCCCCCCACCGAGGAAGAGAAAAAAAAAAAAAAAATAACAAATAAATAGGTAAATAAATTAATTAATAATTACAATTAAAATAAATAGGCAAGAGGAGAAGTGCGAGCGGAAAAACCGGAGCCCAAAACAGGACCCAAGACCCGCACCCCACCATGCCGCGCAGCTCCCCCCCTCCCCGAACCGATACCACAGAACCGGCACAGGAAAGAAACACCGCCCAGGAACCGGCATCGTAGCGAAGGCACCGGCACCGACCCCGAAAATCCCCGAACAACACCCAGCCCCACCCCGAAGCGGATCCAGTCCCTGGCCCCAGGGATCCGAGGCCCCAAGGGCACCCCACCCCCAGACAGGAGCCCCAGCAAAGCCCCGGCCGGCCGGGGCCAGTGGAGAGGCCGCCAGGAATGAGCCAGCAGTCCCCCGGGCATCCACCCCCAGCTCCACCAGTGCACCGGTGAGCCCCGACGCCAGCCAGCGGAGGGAGAGCAGGACAGGGGGAATGGGCTCCGCACTTAGCGGAGACTTGAGATGTATTTGGGAGAGGGTGCGGTTGAGACCCCAACCTGGGAAAGAAAAAAAAAAAAAAAAAAAAAAAAACACACCATCTCAATCATGCCTTCCCACCCAAGTGCCCCCACTCGTACCACAGGAAAAAAAATAAAAATAAAAAAAAAATAAAAAAAAAAATTTAATAAAATAATAATAATAATAAATAAAGAAAATAACAACGCAGACACACATTCACACATAACACTCACATCCAATAATACCAGGACCAAAAACCCGGTGACACCGGTGGTCGGTCCCGGGACTATCGGATGACCCCATAAGTGAACCTAAAATCCGGATGTGAGGGGAGGGGAGCGGCGACACCGCCACACCAACCCATCTCTTTCCTGCTTCAAGCCCGGCCCCCCACCCCGCACACGGACCGGACCACCCCCCGCAAGAGCCCCCCCCGGGACCGGGGCCCACCCATCCCGTGCCGGCCACCCAACCAGAACCGCCCCCCCCCCCCGAAAAGAACAAAAAAAAAAAAAAAAAAAAAAAAAAAAAAAAAAAAAAAAAAAACCTTCAACCAGGCACTTCATGCCCCTCCATCCAACCTTCTTTGGGGAGAGCAGAGGTGACAGCCCCGCCACCAGCAGGCCACCTAGGCCCCGCAGCCAGCCCCAGCCAAAACCACGGACCAGGCGGCCCGCTCTTCCTCCAGGCCCCAGACTCCAGGCGGCAGCCGGAGAACAGGGGTGT